TATATATATATATATATATATATATTTGTATAGATGTATATAAGTCCTGGAGTAAATTATTCGGCATGTCCATACTTGCATGGGATCTCGGAGTTCACACATTTCAGATATAAAATAACTGTGTGCTAGTTGTGTATTTTACTGAGTGATCGCAAGTGAAGCCATAAATTTACGTGTTATGAGCATTTAGGTAAATGATTTTTACTCGTGGCACCAAAAGAGAAATGAGATTCGCACTTTGTTACTCATAAAATTCGGCCCAGTACCAGCACCAGGAATAGTGCTACTCGTAAAGCTATGGGAGCAGAAGCAGATCAGGAACAATAAGTTATTTTCAGTGACCGTTTTTTCTGAGTCTACTAGTGCAACAACATCAAAGATTGTTAAGCACATAGGAAAATGTTCAATAAAAAAAGAAATTACACATAAATGCCAAGGAAGGAAACGCTTTTGAAATGTGGGTGTAAGGAGTGACCAGTGGCTTGGCTCGCTAAATACAGCGCAGCTTTTGCTGCTACAGTAGCAAAGGGTGAGGTCTTGTCCTGATATCATTTTTCGAAGGGTCATTCACCTCAGTCCAGTGACTATTACTTCATCAAAATGTTTGTTTTGAAAATTAGCCGAAAGGAACACAAATAATGCTCGGATCAGGAAGTAGCAAATGTGTTGCAAAGGAAACAACTCTGGAGAGGTTGTAGTGGAAGCTTGCATGACATTTGGTGCTCAAACTAGCTGCTTTCTTCTCCGCTCCTTTTCCCAGGCCTGGTGATGCCCGGATACCAGCCGAATGCTAAAATATGAAAGAACTGCAATAAATTTTTGGATTATGGGTCGGAGGAAAAGTCCTGACATTTGGTGTTTGAGTGTAAGCTATCAAGGAACAGTGCTTGCTCTGATGCAATTTTTTTTTGCATCAAAGATCAGCCACCCTACCAACTTCTCCTGGGTGCAGCAGAAGCAGCAACTCCTTCGCGTGCTCGAACACTTGCATGCGTTTTGTGATGGTACGTGGAAAAATGTTCCGCAATAAAGTCGAGGCTGTGTGTCTGCAAGTTTATATATTTGTGCACCAGGATTGCGGAAGCTATAACGAGATTTTGAAATTTTATTTTTGGCGTTCCGCAGCACTACTACTACATGATTCTAAAATTAGAGTTCCGGAGGGCAAAAACCTTTGCGATTCCAGCCTAGCTTAAGAAAGGCGCCACGAAGCTGGAATTTCTGACGCTTTTTGTCCTTTAATTTATGCGCTGCTCAGTCAGTACTGTTCTGCTGCTGGCGATGCTTTTGGGAAGCTCTTGGATAGACTTCCATATGAGGCCTCTCTCAGTTCTCTTGTAGAATTATGTCCAGGATGAATCCCGAGTAAATTACATTATACCGAAGCAATCGACGGTTCTACTGTTATGTTGAATGTTGCCATATATATTACTCTCAGTGGAATGCCCTGTTTCTGACAAAGCAGATAAAATGAATGAAATTCCACCTCTTCCTTACTTACCTATTTTTGTTCGGGTTTGTTAGAATTTCCATTTTACTGTAGGATTTGGCTTTTCAGTCTCATTTAACACCCTCATCACAATCTCCACGTCTTACTAGATAAATTTGGCTTCCCTTTGCTCAGTTTTTAACATCGTTTTACCTACACTGATTCTGCATGCCTTCTTCTTTAACTCCAAAAAGACTCTTCTTAGTAAGTCACTGTACATAGGTGCACGGAAGGTGTTCGGGCAGGGGTAAGGATGCCATTCAGTCCAGCATTGTTCGATCAAAATTACGTCTTTACTGATAAGGTGCCGCTTCTTATCTTTGTTCATCAACTGCTTCCCGATGCTGCACGAACTGAATACCTCACAACCTGATTTTTCCTCCTTCAAAACGAACTAACACTTTCCAGCTGGGTCGATGTCTTTTAGTTGAATGTGTTTTTCCCCACTGAATTAAAAAATTTTCTTTCTTTTTTGGGTCATCCTCAATCAATCTTCCTGTTTTCTTGTCAGAAAACAACTTATTTCTTGTTTCTTTTATGCAAGTGCAAGTTGTAACCGAAACTGTGAGTATGACGAAGCGAAATAAGATATATTATTTTTGTTAAAATTTTTTTTGTCAGGAGACATGTTCAGGATACATATGCATTACGTTAGTTGCATCAGATCCTGTTCTGCTAAGAAAGCACATACAGTTCTTGATACAGTAATATGAGTGACTGAATGATTTCTGATCTGATACCGTATGCGCCGACGTTATCCCTTCTACGCGCTGGAACAGCGAACGCATATCAAAATAGGTATTTTCAATTTGTAAATTTTTGTAGGTGTATTCAGAATCTCAGAAAATACATTTTCTAATTAGAGATGTTGAGCTTCTGGATAATTTGACGCATAAATCACAGTCTGTGAGCTCAGACCCTCGATCAGGAGAACTACGTTTTACAGTGCTATTTGTTGAGGCTTACTAAGCGATCATTCTTCAATTAAAGCATAATAACAGAAGCTTCACAAATTTGAAAATATTTATCAATTGGTTGTTGGAACGCGCCGACGTATGTGACTTGTTTCCATCTGAGCATTTTCGGAATGAAAGACCACTTTACATGTTGTCCCATTCATCATAAGCAGAAGGAAGCGCCGTTGCATCCTCTGTGGTGCTTGATTTACCCTTTTTGATTACCGCATTCTGAAATTGTTTTTTTGCTGTTCACTTGTAGACTTCTCAAAAAATTTAGGCTTCTCTCGTCTCTTTTATTTTCTTTCACTCGCTTGTTGTATTAGAGCCAAATAATTCTCACCACTTCATAAATAATTACACATTTACGAACGATATGCCGTCGAAGTCATATCATGCTGAAGTTCCAGTACCCATATAATTTTTGGAATAAACCGACTGAGCTTATCTTACGTAATTCCCGACTAATGACTCTCGATACTTTGTTTTATTTCTTTTGCTTGTTTTCGAGCCTTTGTGAATAGCGCATTCGGCAGTGTCGGAGAGAATGATGCGCTCTGAGGTGTTGCAAAAAAGAAATATATGCATAATAACGCTAGCAATCAAAAAAAAAAAAACAAGCACAGCACAGTCTGGGAATGTCTTCAGCCATTTTTGGTTCGCATTCTGAAAGAATGTGGTGTAGAAAGATCCCTTATCGCTTACAGTTACAAGCGGTCTGTCAGCAGTGGTCCATCCGAAATCAGTCCAGAAGAGCTAAATCATCTGCGTATTGCGGTGCAGAAGATCTCACCGGTAAATCGACGAGCGGCGATGACATAGGGCCCAAAGTAAGGAGATGGATTAAAGAATCAGTTCATCAAAAACCACGGTCATGCAGCGCGAGCTTGCAGACTGATAGTATGAACTTTGAAGAAGGTGACAGTCACGTCTGATCGAATCATGATGTGAATATGCCTCTTAAATTCCATACAGAAATAATACGGGGACTAGTAATAAGCATAAATTCCAAAATATCGTGGCAATTCCACAGTACCCGCTAGTAAGAGTACGATCTTCTATGTTCATCTCATTAACCCCGCCAAGATGCAAGCAGTGATGTACAAATGCGAAACGTAACTTTTTACAACTGGGCAAAAGACAATGGCTGAGACAGAAAGCACCCTAGAATGAAATGTGCGTGAATATCTCTGTGCGATTTCGGAGGAAATTCAAGCAGTCGTTATAAAACATAGAGCAGTCTGTTTAATGCGAGAAAAAGTGGGGAAAGCACAACTTATTCATTACAGAAAAATTCTACTAAGCAGGGCAAATTGCTAGCCTTGTTAACGGCTAACAGACGACTTATGTCGGTGAGTGAAATCTGTGAAACAGAAAGCAGGATAGTATGTGTTTGTAATGGATGTTGTGGGTAATAATCGTGGATAGGTTAGGACAAAAAAGCCTAGCGTCAGCGTGCTTGATATTTGATAGCATTTCAGCCAACGATGCTCCATTGAGCAATCTTGCTCGTTTGGCATTAACACTTTCCCAGAAAGTTTCCCTTACAACTCCTGTTTTCCCCCAGTTGATTTCTCTTTTTTATAGAATTTTCGAAAAGTGACCTGCTCACGATCAAACTGCCACGTTTCATAATTACGAAGCGCAATCTGCACGTAGCTTGTCACATAATGCTGCTCCTCAGTGCGTTGGTATTTTTGCAACACATCCAGGGCCAAGTTCTTTAATTCGGCCATATTTAGTGCCTCACACTCACCAACTAATCTGAAAGTATGCATAATAAATTACCTTAAATG